TTATGTATACATTAATTTCATATATAAATACAATGATAAAATATATATTTATACTTTTTAAAAAAAAATTTAAAAATAAATATTTGTAGTATTATCATAAATTTTAAAAATAAAAATAAAAATAAAAATAATATTTTTTCCATCTTACTAAGTATAAAAAATTATTAATTATTTTCATTTTTCATCCATCCTACCAAAGATAAAGGAAGAAAAATGTAGCATTCCTATTTTTCTTTCTTGCATGATAGAAAATGTATTCCTTTTACTTCTCTGAGTTAAGATCATTCATTGCAGATTTAAAACTAAAAACATTCTTGAGAAAAACAATGAGTATTGTCTTAAAATTGCTCTGCAGATCTTTTATAGGATTGGGGAACAGGGTTTAGTGTAAAAGTTAAGTTGATTATAGGAAGGTTGCGCCATTGTGATTTGAAAGTTACGAGTTTGAGTTGCTGAAACAGTCTCTCTGTTTACAGAGATAAGATTGCGTACATCTAACCCTCTCCAGACCTCACAATAACGGTAATCTCGTGCACTGAGTACGCCTTATGAGCTTGTAAAAACATACCTGAAAAGCTAAGAAAAAAGAAGTCGAAACTTATTCTAGAAGAGCAATGCTATATGAATTTAAAAAATAGACTTGATAATTATTACAGTTGATTTTATTGTATAAAATTATTACTATTATAAAATTTAAAGAGGGTCAAATATATAGTTTTTTTTATAAAAAACTTATTTTCACAATTTAAACACTAAATGCATAAATTACAAAATATAATATTATCGGTACCTCAACTTACCTCACCCTATAGGTATACTGCAGTGATAGAGTCACACTCTCTTTAGTCCTCTGTCCCTTTCTTTTATTTTTGGTTTAACAGTCAATATATTTGAATTAATTTATGCGCACATCGATTAATTCATTCTCTAGTTTAGTTAAAGACTGATGTGAGTTGCTCCATTTGTGCTAAAGATTCCATAATGGAACAAAACATCTTCACTTTTCCACATGGAACATACTTGCCTTGTGACAATTTATTGTTCTTGCTTTCATTTTTGTAAAAGAAAACTCACTGAGGGCTCCACTTGGATTACTTAAATTCTGGGAAATGAATCTAACCTACTATAAATTAATGTCTCCTCTATACTTGCTTTGTCATCAACATTTCTTACATTCCTCGTTAAATTAATCAGCTCAGAAGACCAAGCAGAGGAGCAATCCATCAGTAAGTTGTACAATTGCTTAAGCATTATTTGTTTTCTTATGCTCTACCTTTTGCAAATAACCGTCTAACTACGCAAAACATTTGAAAGGCAAATCATACTTTTAACACCTTCAACGATGGTCACAATCTCATTTTTGTCTCCTCAATTCCTCATATTTCATTCTCAATTACGTGAATTAGTTTCACATTGTTCCAACATCAAATATCCGTCATGTATTGATAGGAATACGCAATTGTTTTGTAATTTACACATTTGCAATGTCTATGATTGGGGCAACATGAAACCAGTTATCATTGTTGAGAGTGCAATAATGAGAAACGTGATATTGAGGTGGCAATTTAAAATCAGTATCTGTAGTTTGAGGTCCAATATGAAAAACATGATAGTTGAGTGTATAATAAAAGACCATGTGGCATGGGTGGAAGATCATGAAAAATCTTTTATGAGCTATTTTCTAGCTGTGGTGTTTTATGTTTGTACCGGGGGTAATCTCATGTCTGAAGGCATAGTGCAAGTGATAGATTTAGGGGAAGAGGAATTCAATGTGAATGATTTTGAGAGGGATGTTGGTAATCGTTGAATAAATCTATTTGAAACTATTAAATGAGTTTGTTGAAACCTCTCCTATTTTATACATGTGGCATAACACAACTAGTAGCTAAGGGTAGGAAGTTTCGATACAAAATTAATACGACATTGGTGGTAAGGGTTGGCCATTACTTAACACTTCCTAAAATGATACACACAAAGTAAGTGGGTTTTTATTTTTATTTCCGTAATCTGGTATTATTAAATCCTTATAGAAGTAGAAGCTTTTTACTAAGTTTTACCAACACCGAGTCGAGTTTTAGGTTGTTGGAGAAGCGGCCTGGTTTAGCGAGATGGTAAACCTATTCTTGGGTTTCTTGGTTAATGTCAGGTCACCAAACAGAATTAATTAAATAGGTTTGTGTGAGTTCCTTGTGTATGTCTAGGGGTGGTAATTTCTCATATGATACGACAACACAATTCTAAATTGACACGAACTTAGTGGGTTAATGTTGATCATTTCTTGACACAAACCCGTAAATAACACGAATAATAAATGGATCGAGTTAGGGTCAAACACGAAGAATACGAAATTGATACGATTAACACGTGTAACGGNCGAGTTTGAGTTGCTGAAACAGTCTCTCTGTTTACAGAGATAAGATTGCGTACATCTAACCCTCTCCAGACCTCACAATAACGGTAATCTCGTGCACTGAGTACGCCTTATGAGCTTGTAAAAACATACCTGAAAAGCTAAGAAAAAAGAAGTCGAAACTTATTCTAGAAGAGCAATGCTATATGAATTTAAAAAATAGACTTGATAATTATTACAGTTGATTTTATTGTATAAAATTATTACTATTATAAAATTTAAAGAGGGTCAAATATATAGTTTTTTTTATAAAAAACTTATTTTCACAATTTAAACACTAAATGCATAAATTACAAAATATAATATTATCGGTACCTCAACTTACCTCACCCTATAGGTATACTGCAGTGATAGAGTCACACTCTCTTTAGTCCTCTGTCCCTTTCTTTTATTTTTGGTTTAACAGTCAATATATTTGAATTAATTTATGCGCACATCGATTAATTCATTCTCTAGTTTAGTTAAAGACTGATGTGAGTTGCTCCATTTGTGCTAAAGATTCCATAATGGAACAAAACATCTTCACTTTTCCACATGGAACATACTTGCCTTGTGACAATTTATTGTTCTTGCTTTCATTTTTGTAAAAGAAAACTCACTGAGGGCTCCACTTGGATTACTTAAATTCTGGGAAATGAATCTAACCTACTATAAATTAATGTCTCCTCTATACTTGCTTTGTCATCAACATTTCTTACATTCCTCGTTAAATTAATCAGCTCAGAAGACCAAGCAGAGGAGCAATCCATCAGTAAGTTGTACAATTGCTTAAGCATTATTTGTTTTCTTATGCTCTACCTTTTGCAAATAACCGTCTAACTACGCAAAACATTTGAAAGGCAAATCATACTTTTAACACCTTCAACGATGGTCACAATCTCATTTTTGTCTCCTCAATTCCTCATATTTCATTCTCAATTACGTGAATTAGTTTCACATTGTTCCAACATCAAATATCCGTCATGTATTGATAGGAATACGCAATTGTTTTGTAATTTACACATTTGCAATGTCTATGATTGGGGCAACATGAAACCAGTTATCGTTGTTGAGAGTGCAATAATGAGAAACGTGATATTGAGGTGGCAATTTAAAATCAGTATCTGTAGTTTGAGGTCCAATATGAAAAACATGATAGTTGAGTGTATAATAAAAGACCATGTGGCATGGGTGGAAGATCATGAAAAATCTTTTATGAGCTATTTTCTAGCTGTGGTGTTTTATGTTTGTACCGGGGGTAATCTCATGTCTGAAGGCATAGTGCAAGTGATAGATTTAGGGGAAGAGGAATTCAATGTGAATGATTTTGAGAGGGATGTTGGTAATCGTTGAATAAATCTATTTGAAACTATTAAATGAGTTTGTTGAAACCTATCCTATTTTATACATGTGGCATAACACAACTAGTAGCTAAGGGTAGGAAGTTTCGATACAAAATTAATACGACATTGGTGGTAAGGGTTGGCCATTACTTAACACTTCCTAAAATGATACACACAAAGTAAGTGGGTTTTTATTTTTATTTCCGTAATCTGGTATTATTAAATCCTTATAGAAGTAGAAGCTTTTTACTAAGTTTTACCAACACCGAGTGGATTTTTAGGTTGTTGGAGAAGCGGCCTGGTTTAGCGAGATGGTAAACCTATTCTTGGGTTTCTTGGTTAATGTCAGGTCACCAAACAGAATTAATTAAATAGGTTTGTGTGAGTTCCTTGTGTATGTCTAGGGGTGGTAATTTCTCATATGATACGACAACACAATTCTAAATTGACACGAACTTAGTGGGTTAATGTTGATCATTTCTTGACACAAACCCGTAAATAACACGAATAATAAATGGATCGAGTTAGGGTCAAACACGAAGAATACGAAATTGATACGATTAACACGTGTAACGGGTATTATAAGAATAAAATGTTAATTTTTATTAATATTTTATCAAGTAGTGACATTATTATTGTATTAAAAAAATATTTTTATTCATTTTTATTATTATATTTATTAAGTTAATTTTTAGTTTATAAAAAATATGAGTATATGTTCGATTAAGTGACAATTAAAATTTATACTTAAATCTGAGTGTAAATTTTTTTATTCACGGTTTATATTGGTCAACACGAACACGACACGAAAATAAATAGGTCGACTCTCCTCGACACAATTAATTAAACGGATTGGATTAAGATTGATTAATGTTTGACACAAACTAGAAATAACACAATACGACTCCCATGTATGTCTATTCTCTAAATTCGAGATAAAATACTCAATTTGTCCAAAATCGCAACAGTATGTGTGTGCGCGTGCGCGCGCTAAAGCTTGTGTGTTTTTCGGGGTTCAAACATCTAAGTCCATCGTTGTGTCTATTTACTGTATACCCAAAAGAAGAAGAAAAAAAAACTTATTAGTTTCACCTTGTTTTTTTAGCTAACCTTATAGCAACAAAAACCTTATTTTATCCGAGATTATTTGTAAACCTTTTCATAGATTTATATCCCATTTTTGTTAGTGGATCAGAGATATAATATCTTTTGACTAATCCTTGCTAATCTGTTTTCAATAGCATTTACTAATTTCGAAGGGAAAACAAATGGGCCCCCAGTTGTCTATTGACATCAACAATGAGCTATCCTCTTTGTCACCTACACCATTTGAGCCTTACATCTTCAGAGTGGATGGCTTACTACGTAGGGAAAATGAGCTAGCCTATGAACCAGAAATACTTGCAATCGGTCCTTATCATCACGGTAAAGCTAACTTGGAAATGATGGAAAAACATAAACTAAGATACCTACAAATGTATCTTGCGCGAACAAATGAATCAAGTGTGGATAGATTTGTCAATGACATGCAAGATTTGGAAGAAAAGACACGGAAATGTTATGCAGAGTCCATTGGACTTGAGAAGGATGCATTTGTGCGAATGATGCTAGTTGATGGATGTTTTATCATTGAGTTTTTTTACAAGGTAGCATATGAAGAGGTTATGGACGACCCTATTTTCAGANGACGACCCTATTTTCAAATTGCAAAGGTTCACGAATACAATTTTTCGAGACCTATTGTTATTTGAAAATCAACTCCCATTTTTTGTTCTCGAGCGCTTACTTGGAAGTGATTTATTAGATATCAATGATCTCATTTCTCAGATACCCTTCCTCTTCTCCCATCTTTTTTCCCAAAGTTCAACGTATTTAGACGCATCTGATGTTCCAAGGGAGAATGTCAAACATCTACTAGGCCTTGTACATGATACTTGGTGTTCCTCATTTAAAACAATCGTCTCTTCCCGTCGGGCCGCTGAAGACCAAGAAAGAACATGGGAATACATAAAATGCAGCAAACAACTTCGAGAGGCTGGGGTTAAATTCAAAAAGGCCACAGAAACTTCCTCGTTGCTGGATATAGAGTTCGAAAATGGAATCATGAAAATTCCACCTTTGAGTATTTATGATAGTACTGAGGTCATCTTTAGAAATTTGGTTGCATTTGAGCAATATAATGACATAAATGAACCGGCTTATGTGACTGATTACCGGAAGTTTTTAGATTGCCTCATCAACTCCCCAACGGATGTCGAAATACTACGTCACCNTAAATGAACCGGCTTATGTGACTGATTACCGGAAGTTTTTAGATTGCCTCATCAACTCCCCAAAGGATGTCGAAATACTACGTCACCGTGGAATCATTGACAATTGGCTAGGTGATGATGAAGCCGTTTCGAGCCTGTTGAACAGATTGGGCAATAATGTCATCCTAGATTCTACATCATTCTGTTACTCCGAAATTTTCAACAAAATTAACGACCATTGCAAACGCCGTCGATACAAATGGATGGCCAAGTTAAGGCATAATCATCTCAACAGCCCGTGGTCTATCATTTCACTTTTTGGTGCTACTCTGTTACTTGTGCTGACTATCATACAGACTATATCCTCTGTCTCAAAAGTCTGATTTCAAGTCTAGTTTGATTTNAAAATATGAGTATATGTTCGATTAAGTGACAATTAAAATTTATACTTAAATCTGAGTGTAAATTTTTTTATTCACGGTTTATATTGGTCAACACGAACACGACACGAAAATAAATAGGTCGACTCTCCTCGACACAATTAATTAAACGGATTGGATTAAGATTGATTAATGTTTGACACAAACTAGAAATAACACAATACGACTCCCATGTATGTCTATTCTCTAAATTCGAGATAAAATACTCAATTTGTCCAAAATCGCAACAGTATGTGTGTGCGCGTGCGCGCGCTAAAGCTTGTGTGTTTTTCGGGGTTCAAACATCTAAGTCCATCGTTGTGTCTATTTACTGTATACCCAAAAGAAGAAGAAAAAAAAACTTATTAGTTTCACCTTGTTTTTTTAGCTAACCTTATAGCAACAAAAACCTTATTTTATCCGAGATTATTTGTAAACCTTTTCATAGATTTATATCCCATTTTTGTTAGTGGATCAGAGATATAATATCTTTTGACTAATCCTTGCTAATCTGTTTTCAATAGCATTTACTAATTTCGAAGGGAAAACAAATGGGCCCCCAGTTGTCTATTGACATCAACAATGAGCTATCCTCTTTGTCACCTACACCATTTGAGCCTTACATCTTCAGAGTGGATGGCTTACTACGTAGGGAAAATGAGCTAGCCTATGAACCAGAAATACTTGCAATCGGTCCTTATCATCACGGTAAAGCTAACTTGGAAATGATGGAAAAACATAAACTAAGATACCTACAAATGTATCTTGCGCGAACAAATGAATCAAGTGTGGATAGATTTGTCAATGACATGCAAGATTTGGAAGAAAAGACACGGAAATGTTATGCAGAGTCCATTGGACTTGAGAAGGATGCATTTGTGCGAATGATGCTAGTTGATGGATGTTTTATCATTGAGTTTTTTTACAAGGTAGCATATGAAGAGGTTATGGACGACCCTATTTTCAGNTGATCCCTATGGAGCTGTAAACATTTTGGAGGTCACTTAAAATGGTTAGCAACACAGCTTCTAGTATAATCAACGAGGGGTTCCTATTATTGGGTGGATCATCATGTATGGATCGATCCTATGGGCCCCTATTGGGTGACTATTATGTATTGGGGTGACCATTTGTAAAAAGTTCAAATGAATCGCACTGAACATTAGACCGTTGGAACTCAATTTGTTTGCCCGAGAATAGTATTTAAACTCGATTTGGCTCAGGTCATCTGATAATCAAACTTTTCTTATGCTTTTGTCAAAAGGTATAAAAATAAATAGTCTACATTTCAACAAATATGCATGCCTATCATTCCTTTTATTTTTTCGTCCAATTTAGAGAGGATAAATTTGAACAAGGTGAAAAGAAGAATAATTCGTCTACTTTTCATTTCTTCCATTTTTTCTTCCTAAACTCCACGTATACATCTATTAATTACTAAAAGCAGACCTTCAATTACTATGTTATTTTGTGTTTATTTTGTTAAAATTTTAGCTATTGGTTTCTCCTATTATTATTATTATTATAAGTAGGATTTTGTCTCAACTAATTAAAGATTGTCCCATAATACAAATGCAAATATAATCACACTTCTTAATCATATATGCTGCTTCTATTCTCTATATATTTCCTCCTCGTCTCAATTTCATATTTGAAATTAAGTGAAATTTATTAAAGAAGATTAATAAAATTTATTATATGTGTCATATTGTTGAATGTCATATCGACAACCAAAACAGAAGGGAATATAGTGTTATTATCCTATATAAGCGGATCTCTTGTTTATTTAACAAACTTCAAGAGATATACATGTAATTTACCATTTTTTTGTCTCCATCTTCCTTCCCTTCACCGTCTCAACTATCATCTTTTTTAATTGTACCCTTAACTATGTTTACTAATATCACACTGCCTAATGATTGACATCTGTTATCAATTGTCAAAAAGTAGCCCACTTTGCCTCTTACACAATGTGTGCTCTTCACTTTTCTCTCTTCTACCTCTTTTTTTATTTTTTTCCCTGATCACTTAATTTTAAATTATATAATTACAAATAAATAAATAATTTTTTATTTAATAAATATTGTATGACTAATTATAAATTTTTAATATTGTAGAGTATCTTTTAGCACAAAATTGTTGTTAGTGTTCAAATATTACAAGAAGAATGGAGGAAACCAAAAGTGATGCATTTTTTGATTGTGGTAAAAATTAGACCCTTAAATGATCACATAATCCTTCAAAACAATCGATGCTCTCATGTTTCGCGTGTTGATTTGCGCATTGAGACTGAATTCTCTATGAATTTGCGCTCTCATTTCACAAAATTTGAATTCGTATTATTATTAACTTATATTCTTACTCATTCTTATTTAAATTTTTATCTGAAAAGTATTAACTCATACATAAAGATACATATCGAACAAGAATGATATTTGCAACCTATAGTTACCATTTGCAGGACCATATAATCAATATATATATATATATAAATTAAATTGTTTGTTATATAGTTGTGCATGAAATTTGTAATACTTGATAAATTTAAGACACTTATCCACACTGTGAAAGGACAAGTTGTAGGAATTATCAACTTACATCCCGACAAGGTCCAACAAGATTGGTATAGACAACAGTGTCACAACAACATTATAGCGTCGCGGTAGGCATAAGCACCGCAGCAGATGCTATTTAACAGATGCTATTTTTCAAGGACCGCAAATGTTCACCTTTGTTCCCACAAACCTTCTCAAACTAATTCAAACATGAAGTCTAATGCTTTAATAAGTTATCACACTGTTGTTACGCAATAAAGCATTTAAACCAAAATATCAATTGCTAAAAATAATTTTATCTATTTTCTCTTTGCATACATTTTTTGAGCTCATTGAAGTCTCTCAGGAAGGCTTTGTCTAATATTACATGTGGAACTACTGATCAAAGTTTTATAGATTTGCAATGAACATAAAAGAATGACATAGGTAAACAAAACTCAATAAGGATACTCAATCCTTTTCCAAATGCATTCAATTGATTCAGTGAATCTATCTCATCTTTCTTTCTCAAGTTTTGACATCAACTCATCAATCTTAAACTTCAACTTAGATGCCACACAGTTAGCAACCAAAAACCAATGGTCAGAAAGTGATATAGATGATGAATATAAATTAGAAAAGAGTTGAAGTTTTTGAGGAAATACTAACCAACTTGAAGCTAAAAAGTGAAGAGGTGCAAATCTAATAGCCCCAGTCAAATATTCTCCTGCATGAATAAGCATTGCTACTAAACTAACACTTGCAGATCAAATTGATGCCTACAGCTATGTACATCCTTGAATGATACCAGGGAACAAACTTTGCAAAGGGGAAATATGATCTACTTCATGCTATAAAAACACATGGTCAAATTATATTGAGGCGAACTATGAAGGGATAGCCATGTAATTTGAGTTTAATTATAGGAAAAATTCCATCCACACCCCCTCTAGTTAGGTCTAAATTTAATAACACCCCCTCCTAATTTTAAAACTTCTGTGCATCTTCTTTTGGTTTATACTTTCAAATCAAAGACATCCTTTTAACGGTAATATTTAACTCTTGCAATACAAAAAATAACAGTTTGACTATAAATTTTCTAAAAATGTCAAAACTACCCTCTTTTATGTAAATATACTAAAATACCCTCAACCCTTTTCTCACTCTATAAACCACACCTTTTGTTGTTTGTGAAGGTCTAAAACGATTTGGAGTTGCTGGAAGACATAAGGAACTGAAGCTAGCCATTATCCTTTAGCTCTTTCTCTATAGTGATTGATCATTACCCAAGTTGGTAACTATATATATATATATATATATATATATATATATATATATTGCAGATTTAATGTTTTTCATGCAATTTTTGTTTTCATGCAGATATTTTTAATTTTTTTCATGCAAATTTTTAAAATTTTTTTTCCATCGAAAACACCCATTAGACATTTAAGTCATTAAGTCTATTTTCTTATAAGTTGTTGGGTAATAGGTACACTTTTCGATTTCTTATTTTCTTATATTACCTAAGTTCTCTCTATGATATGTTTTTTATTGTTCATTATAAATTATAGGATTTTAAATTTATTTTATAGTTGAAAGTAATTTTTCTATAATAAAATTACAATTGATAAAATCAATGTCAAAACTCCATTTATTTCTAACTTCTCTACTATCGTTTGTCCTCCACAACGTCACTTGACCACTCTTCACATATCACATTTCATATATAAAATTTAAATATTATTTGATAAAATTTAATATTAATTAAATAAATTTGGTCCTAATTTGATAAATTTAAATATTAATTTGGTTTTAATTTTATAAAATTATATTAATTCAATGTTGATTTGGAAAAATTAATGTTAATTAAATAAATTTAAATGTTACTGAATGAATTGAATGGTCATTTGGTGTTAAATTAAATAACTAACTTTCACTTGATAAGGTTAAATGTTAAATTAATAAAAATTTAATATTCTATTTAATATATTAAAATTTAATTTAATAAAATTAAATGTCAATTTGATGTTGATTTGAAGAAATTAAATAATAATTTAATGTTAAATTAAAGAAATAATATGATGAAATAAAATATTAAATTAATATAACTAAATGCTAATTTGATAAAATTAAATATCAATTTGTGTTGATTTGATAAGATGAAATGTTAATTTAGTTTAAATTAAATAAAGGATATTAATTTGATAAAATTAAGTATTAAATTGATGAATTTAAAGGTTAATATAATAGAATCAAAAGAGAGTGCATTGAAATTTCAGAATCAGAAGGGAGTATTGTTAAAGATAGGTCTATTTATAGGGAATGTCGTTAAAATTATGTCTATTTATAGGGGTATCGTTGAAATTATGTCTATTTGCAATGGATGTGGATAAAATTTACCCTATAAAATATTCATTGGTATTTTTATAA